ACACACCTCTCAGACCAGGATCCTTATCCTCGGAGCGAATTTTATCAATTCGAACATTCTTTCCGGTGAGAATGGAGAGCACTAGACGTTGTCGCAAATATTGGTGTCCACTGAAGTTCACCGATGATCTTGGCTCCATGGATGTAAACCTGGAAGAGACTTTTTCATTACGTAAGGAAATATTGATCCTAGCAGGCGCCTCGTTGGCAGCTGCTGGCACTGGGTCAAACACAGTTCGACTCCCCTTTTCACTCTTCTCAATGGCTGCGGAAATACATGTGAACGGTGCAGCGACTTCAAGCGACTGGCAAGACCGGTATTACCATGTTGACCAGATCCTTGACAGACCTGGCCCTCGGACTGATCCATCATTCCTGGCTGGGGATGAGGTGAGTATCCCACAGTTTTAAGACAACTCATCTTTACAAGATGCTCTAAAGGTGAAGGACTTTTTGCGGAACAAGTGCAAGATTCTCGTCATCGGCGCAGGTGGTTTAGGATGCGAGATACTCGCCGATCTTGCTCTGACTGGGTTCAAGGACATCCATCTTATCGACATGGACACCATCGACATTAGCAATCTCAATCGTCAATTTCTCTTCAGGTATGTCACATTTATGAGATGGCATGTGTGTGCCGACCTAGGGATCAATTACCTTAAGACCCGCGGACGTTGGAAGACCGAAGGCTATCGTTGCTGCAGAGTATGTGATGAAACGGGTGCCAGGAGTCAAGGTCACTCCGTAAGTTTGCAATTTCTTGCGCACGGGGCGCACTATCTCTGATTGCGAGGCGTGCAGGTACTACGGCAAGATACAAGACAAGGACGACGATTATTATTTGCAGTTTAACCTCGTCATCTGTGGTCTAGATTCTGTGGAAGCGCGTCGGTGGATAAATGCTACTCTCGTTAACCTAGTGGATCCTGAGAATCCTGAGAGTTTGAAGCCCCTGATAGACGGTGGTACCGAAGGTGAGTAAGTATCTTTTACCTCTTTGCGACCTCAATAGCTGTGAGAAGGTTTTAAGGGGCAAGCTCGAGTCATTCTTCCGACTGTATCCTCATGCTACGAGTGTTCCCTTGATATGCTCAACAAACCAACTACATTCCCTATCTGCACCATCGCAAACACACCTCGTCTTCCTGAGCACTGTATAGAATGGGCCTCTGTGCTCGAATGGCCTCGTGTGCGCGGAGGTCAGTCTCGTTGTACATCCCATTTTTCTTCTATTTCACATGAAAGTAGATGAGAAACTCGACACTGATGACCCTGAGCACATCGGATGGTTGTATTCAATTGCTATTGCTCGTGCAAAGGAATTCAAGATTGAAGGCGTGACTTGGTCACTTACCCAGGGTGTTGTCAAGAATGTCATCCCTGCAATCGCATCCACCAATGCCATCATTGCTGGTATGTCAGCACCCACCCTTACTCGATCTGTCTGATGAGAGCGTTCGTAGCTTCATGTTGCAATGAGGCTTTCAAGATTGCAACAAGTTCAGCGGCTTATCTGAACAACTACTTCATGCTCATTGGGACCGAAGGAGTATATTCGTACACCTTTGAGCATGAAAAGCGCGATCATTGCCCTGTTTGCGGAGGTGAAGCCCTGGAGATGTCCATAAGTCGAGATTGGACTGTTGAGCAGCTCATTGAACTGTTGACTGAGAAGCAGAACATGTATGTATTCCTTCCTCATTGACATCTATGGCTTATCCTGGCGTAGCCAGATTAAGAAACCTTCTCTCGCAACACCAGAAAAGCCGATTTATTTCCAACAGCCACCCCAGCTGGAAGAAGCTATGCGCCCGAACCTAGAGAAGAAAGTCTCGGAACTTGTCCCTGATGGTGGAGAAGTTGTGGTCACTGCTTCGACTCTGCCTTTCAGCTTGTCACTCATCGTCACTTACACGTGAAGGCACAGTATCTTATATTTCTGCATGGTTATCCACATTGTAGCAGTAGACATTCAAATGCAAGCATCATCACAGTTTTTTCACGAGTGATCCTACCTCCAAGTCAGGCTTATGGTCCTGCGCTGTAGACAGATACAAAAGAAAACACTCATTGCGCCAACATTGCGATCAGTGCTGACAACTGCGATTACGTAACATTATTGGTCTTCGAGTGAACTTCATCGACGTCGTTGCTTATATCCTAACACTCTCATTCACCAAATAAGATGCCCAAGGCAGATATCAACAAGGCAGGTTGGGAGCAAAGTGAATTTCCTATTCTTTGTGAAACATGTACGCTGTTATTTATCAAACCTGATTAGACCAGAAACTAACGCACTTGACCAGGTCTGGGACCTAACCCGTTCATCCGAATGGTCAGTCTTGAGTTCTGTGACCAACACAAAATACTGACCAGCTAGCCTGATGATTAGTCGAAACAAGAGTTCGGTCGCTCGTGTGGCACATGTGCTCGCCCATTCACAGTTTTCCGATGGAATCCAGGCTCCGGCGCACGGTACAAAACCACTGTGATATGTCAGACGTGTGCCAAAGTGAAAAATGTCTGTCAGACGTGCCTTCTTGATCTTGAGTACGGACTACCTACCCAAGTCCGAGACACCGCCCTTGCCATTCAGAATGAAGCGCCAACCAGTGACATCAACCGGGAGTACTATGCGCAGAACATGGAGAACAAGGTGCGTTGGTGTCTAGCATCGGCTCGCGTACGTTTTTTTAAGTCATACTCAGATGGAGGATGGAAATCAATCCCTGATGCAAGTTGGGACGCGGGCTACATCTGCTGGGAAGGAAATGCTGAAGCAGCTAGCTCGGACAAACCCGTATTACAAGCGCAACCGCCCACACATATGCTCCTTCTTCGTAAAAGGAGAGTGTAACAGAGGTGACGAGTGCCCGTTCCGGTGAGCCCACATACAATGATCTTCCCGCTTCAATCCCTGATAAGGCTTGCTTTACCAGACATGAGAAACCTGTTGAGAACGCACTTTCCCACCAAAATATTCAGGATAGATATCATGGTAACAATGACCCAGTTGCACGAAAAATATTGGCCAATCATTCTGAGGCGCAAGGTTTGAAGCCACCAGAAGACGAGAATATCGTGAGTGAGATTTTCTTCCTCTCTAGTGCAGTGTTTGACAGTCTGGTACAACAGACCTCCCTGTTCCTTTCCTCTCTCCCTGCCTCTGCCACGGAACTTAGCATACGGACTCATGTCATTAATTCATTACCTCAAATACCTTCGTCACAGTTGCGGTCGGTCGTCCACATCGCAAAATCACGGTGCGTCAGAATGTATGCCTTTCAGTGGTGTTTTAAAGCTAAGACCCATTTTAGATGTGCATTTATCAACTTCAAAGACCGCGATTCTGCTGAGAGGGCAGCAGAAGCTTGGGCGAATGGCCTAGACATGGATAGCGAACGAGTTCACGTGAAGTGGGGAAGAAGTAAGGGTCCTTCCAAGTCTGCAACGCCTACCGCGGGACCATCAGCAATCCCTGCATCTGCGTGAGCCTTTTTTCCTTGCAGGAAGGGATGTGTCCATCAGATGTTATGAGCAATGTTTGTTGCATTCCATTGTGTGACCTTATACAGACCCTACTTTGACCTAGCTTGTTATTATTTACTCTATTGTAGTTGGAGTGTATGATACACATTATTCGTCTTGAGATGACGCGCTGCAGTCGAGCTGCAATCCCCGACTTCCAACGTCAGCGGAGAACTTAGGGCTCTTGTCGAACACGATCCGTTTCTCATCTCCCAAAATCTCTGCCGGCCACAACTGTGTTTGGGCCTTTTCGGTTACCATCATTTGACACCTTATTTGTCAGTGGCTTTGCTGAGCCCCTTTTTGCCGCTATGCACGCCTTGGTGGCCCATGGTCTTGACGGTGCTCTAGAGTTTCGCGCTGACTCTGTTGACATCTCTGTCCGATACCTGCGTCTTGCCTCAGCAATCGAAGGTAAATAAAATTTTGTTTGCCTCGGCATCGACATAAAACAGGAGCGCATGCAAACTACGCACATCAGGACGATATGGCTGGGTCTGCCACTTGCAATTCTTCCACGTTTAGCTTTCAAGTCATCCTCGGTCGCATTGGAAGAGTCAACGACCGAAGGAGTGCCCATCGATGAGGCTTCAGCGAGGCTGGGGACTCGGAGGTTACATCATTTTCCTGACTGTTAGACTCACCCTGTCTTTAGCTTGTGCGTATTCGTCTGGCCTCTGAGTCCGGCCCCATTAATGTCAGTTTTCGTTTGGTGGCGAATCCGGTCAGTTTTGGTCAGTTTGTATGTTGGCACGTACGCATCTCTGGGATATATGTTATGTTCCGAGACGACTCTCGCGATGCATGAAGGTGAATTCCTTTTCATGGATAAACTTTGATTCACATAAAAAGGAGGTTTCTGCGCAATGACTGGGGACCTCCGAAGGATCTACACACTGCAGAAAGAGTGTTGTCAGCAGGTTTCGAACCAACTCCAAGTGAAACAGATTTCGGCTCTGTTGTGGCAATCACTGGGCTAAGACCGGTTAGATGGACCGTCGAGGAAACCATCCATGAGTCAATGTCAACAGGTATTCCGGTAAAAAAAAAGCCTCTCATTCGGCAGGTTTCGAACCTGCGCAGTCCAAGAGAAACAGATTTCGACTCTGACAACCACCTGGCTAATATCAGTGTAGATGAACATCCGAGGAACGGTCCATGAGTGAATGTCAAGACATGTTCCAAAAGGGGAAAAAAGACGTCACTTGTTGTCAGCAGGTTCGATTCTGTTGTGGTGTCCACCTGGCTGAGACCAGTTAAGATGGACCTCCGAGGAAACCATCCACGAGAGGCGTGCTCCGATAGAAAAAACCTTGTCGTCGGCAGGTTTCGAACCTGCACTAGGCCAGTCCAAGAGACAGATTCAGATTCTGTTGTGGTAACCACCTTGGCCGGGGCGAATTTGAGATGATTCTCTGAGGAAAACATCCATGAACGAATCTTCAAGGCGTGTTCTGATAGCAAAAAACAACCTGTTGTCGGCAGGTTTCGAGCCTGCGCAGTTCAAGATAAACAGATTTTGAACCTGTTGTGGTAACCACTTGACTAAGACCAGTTTAGGTGCGCCTCCGAGGAAACCATGCTAAAGTGAATGTCAAGGTGTGTTTCGATAAGAAAACATCTTGTCGTTGGCAGGTTTCGAATCCGCACCGCCCAAGAGATCTGCTCTCAGCTCTGGTGCCAGTTCAACGGCTATGATCAGACTAGTGTGATCACTTAAGATAGATCTTGAAGGATCCATTCATGAGTGAATGTTCGAGACGCGGTAAAAGGAAAAAAGATTGTTCAGCAGGTTTCGAACCTACACCAGTTCATGTCTATCCTGTCACGCTTACCACTTGGTTAAGACCCGTCAACATGAGTCGATGCATTGACAGTGGAACCACATGGAATTAGCAATTATTTGCCAACGCCAAATGAAATAAAAAGACTAGCTTGCGTTTAATTCGACGGACACAAAACATGGCCAGGAATAAGCAAGTCGGGGCTGGCGCTGGCGCCATTACGATGAAGTACACACGCACCCCATTAGGCTAGCCTAGAGTCACATTATAAGTAAACGGAATATGACGAAAAAAACTGTGATGTAAGACAAAATCCTAACTTAATAATCCTTACTAGTGATTGTAGCTTTCAGCATCCAGCGACTTGTGATGATCACATCACTTAACAAGCAAGCCACCGAAACCCATGGACAAAAGCCAAGCCGCATACTCCGCGAAACCAATACCAGCATACAGAGAACGTCCAAAGTTGACTAGAGCAGGGCCAGCTGAAATAAAGGTTGGTAATACTGTTCCCAAGGTCCACGGTCAACGTACGGCAGACACCAGCGATCCCCCAGCCGATCCCAAATATCACTGACCCAAGTATGAGCCTACAGTCGATTTTGGTGGAGGTCGGGATGTTCCATTTGCCACCAAGCTTAGGTTGTTCTACACGTGCATACCGATAGAGCAGGGCAGCCAGAGGCAAAGCGCTTCCTGCAACGAACGCCAAGGTCGGGTTGAATGCCGAGGACAACGGTAACGTCAAGAATGCCAGAACTTTGTGTGAATCGACCATATTGCCAAGGCGGAGGGAGAACGCAAAAGCCAACGATGTTAAGAAGCTCGCCAGATACCGAAGAACGGACTGGGGGGTGTTCGGCACAAGATTAGCACAAGAATGGATTCTCCGGCTCACGAGCTGCGAACTGTTGCCAGTGTCATTCTTGAGAGCCGAGCACGTGTACGCAAACCAAAGGGTCCCAAGGGGAAGAATTGCGCCTAGAAACTGTCGTCCCTGGTTCTCGCCGAGGGTCCAATCCAAAGACCCAGATGTTCCAAGGACATCATTTCCGTGAGCGAAATGGGTTGTAGCTACGGCACTTGCAAAGAACGTGGCTGTTGCCACCAGGGAACTTTGAATATATTGAATCCGCAAATACTGAGAAGGCAAGTTCAAAGCATACCGAAGAGAAAATCGGGACAAGCCACAAATCATATGGCTTGAGAAATGATCAGACGCGTGCGCGTAACAGAAATACCGAGGAGGCGAACCCTGAGGTGCATCCATTGGCTAGCTATGGACCAATTGGGCAATGAATGATTACACCTTCGGAGAAAAAATGCCAAACATACCTTGGTCCCAATACCGACCAGCAATCCAGAAAAGACCTTTCGGAGAAGCAAAGACGTAGTGTGGGGCACCGGGGTGTCCACATCACCAATGATACCAACTGCAACACCACCTAGAATCAGACCCACGACGGAAATCATCGCTGCTTTATCTCCTCGTTGTGAGCGGTGAACAAAGGCAGAAACCCCAAGGACAGATCCATTAAGCACCAGCAGTGAATGAACGGACAGCGCAATGCCAATCCCCCCTAAGAGGCCTTCCAGGGGTTTGGGACGGGACTCCGTGATCTCAGACTGGTGGAGCGACATAGTAATTCAGCCGGGGATTGTTGACCGAGGACCGCCTAAATACTGTGAGGTCCTCCAGCACTCTTGTTGGGTACCGGGTTTTGAACTCCTGTTGGGTGATGTGTCGGAATAAGGATAGAAGTCGGAATTCGGCCACGTCCGGTTTGCCTTTTGCTGCGCCACGCCTGGTCTTCCATGCGTTGAAAATTCAAAACATGTTTCAACTGTGCCTCACACGACAAAATTCAGGCGTGTTCTCGAGGAGAGAATTGGATTCGGAAACTACACTATCTAATACTCGTCATCGTACATGGACGAAAATATGGGATACATTGCCAATGAGATAAATCCACAAGTAAACAAGAAACACGCAGACAAGTACATACCTATAAAAAGAGAAATAAATCGAAGGAAAAGTTTACGTGGTGAGAGAATCGGAAGAGATACAGGCTAGATGTGCGTTCAGAACCGCAAGCGGTGAGCGGTGGCCTTCAACTTATTGGGCAGTAAAGCTCCAGGTCGTAGGGGACCTCTGACGTCGAAGATCGGGGAGATGCTGGGAGGTGCGTTGAGATACATAGTATGCGCGCCTGGTGGTGGCCTTCAACCTCGTGGAAGGCTCCAGGTCATAGGGGACAGTGAGGGAGGCCGGTGCGTGAATAGTAATGTGGATTAGCCTGCACCACTCTAGTTGGGGAGCGCCAGCGTGCAGGTAAGGCCAAGCTTTGCCATGACATTGGCCCAGCCATCGAGAAGAGCTTCTTTATCGGTGAGGATCTCAGCATGGAATTGCTCGAGGTGGCCTAGTATATGAAAGCGGTGGGTGAAGCGGACGTCACGAGATATTACTTACCAATGTAAGTCCGTGCGCGTGCGGCCCGCAAACGAGCACGGTGCCAAACAAATCAAGATGAGTATTGTACTTAGTTTAGTGACGGGCATGTCATACTTGCTGTTGGCGCCAGTTGATGATGAGCTTCGTATCTGGAGGTTTGGGCGGTAGGGTGATAGACTGGGACAGAGTAGTACTGCTGAGAAATAGCACTGTTATTGTCGTTGAGCTGTCTGGGAGGGGAAGGTTGGGGTTTGCAGGCGTCGTCCCCAGAATGAGCGGTTCAAGTACCAGTTGCGACTACCGAGAGGGAAAATCGGAGTTTTCGATGGTGACAATGTCCGTTCCTTGGAATAGGTTGCCATCCTAAAGATTTAAACATTAGACGAAGATGTTTAGTAGGCTATGAAGCCTCGTACCTTGCTTTCATCAAATCACTGTTTGGAGTCTGACACATTGTCGAGGTCGTGTCGTCGTCGTTGGCTACAAGCGTTGTGTCGGACTCAATTGAGAATCGCTTGTGCCTCCGAGCTTTTGATGGAAGATGTCGGCGATGTTGTTGCCAGGGAAGGGTGGTGAGTCGGGGGCATGTTTCTGATTGAAGTCACCACTGAGTAATTTCCGAGCGGTTCTGTCGGAGGCAAGAAGGAGGATCACTGTTGAGAGGCAGAAATCTGCCGCGGCGAGACCAATGGTGAGGATGGTAATGCGTTCGGCTTTCTGAATAACCTTAGCCGCGTGGTCCGCAGCCGTTTTCTTGAAGAATGAGACCGCGAGGAACCCGGTGATAGTAACGCGCGCAGCCCCATGAAGGACGGTAGAGGTGGAAATCATTGTGATGGTATAAGATGATGAAGCTCGTAAATAAATGCGTATATGCGTAAAATGGGCAGGTCATCGGATATTTATATTCACACGGCCAACCTTAACGCGTTGAGTCACGTTGTTTCCAAATCAGGAGGTTATCTCAAAGGCTTCGGAGCTGCAAGTTGGGCTCTGCAACCGTTCATTTCCGCGTGCGCAGCATCACCCATTTTCCAACAGACTATTCGTTATGTTTTCCGACATTGACACTAATCTCAAGACACTTTGTCACACCTTTTTTCGTAGGTTTGAGTCAGATTTCAACAGCATAAGTGAAGCTTACCCCTCGGATGATCCCCGACATGGTTCAATCGGACATACCAGTACTCAAGAGAACAAATTTCCTGTGCTACATTACAAATACAGAAAGTCTATTTTCTCACTTAGATCCGCGCCGCCGCCGCCGCGGCGACAGCAACCATTGGGGCTTATCGAACCACAGTTTCTTCAGATACAATGTCTAACCCGAAATTTAGAATCGCTATCTGGTAAGGTGGTTTCAGTCTGTCGTCGTAGTCAAGCTCATTACAATACTGCACTAGCGGAGGAGGGGTAGGTGGTTTGACATTAGCTGTTGCTTTGTCCCGGCACCAGGATATTGCCGTCGACGTGTATGAAGCCGCGCAGAGCTTTTGTGAGATTGGGGCTGGTGTTGGTGTCTGGCCCAGGGCATTCAGGGTACGGATCTCGGAAAATAAAAGACATGCTAGTCTAAGACAATGATCCAGGTCTTACAAAAATTGGGGCCCGACTTCGAACAGCAACTGCTTCAACGCTGCGATTACGAATACACAGAAGAATATGGTCAGTGAAAATCGTAGTGACGATACATGTTCGAATCCACTGAGAGAAATTTAGTCCCAGCTGTTAGGAGCCGTAAAAGTGATCAAGCCGTCGGCATTGAGCTGTTTGACTTGATGACGAAAGGTCAACTTCCCTCTGCATTCAAATGCATCCCATCCTAAACACCGCTGGTAGAACAGGTAAACTTATGCGTTTCCATCGAGCCGACTTCCATGGCGTACTACTTTCATTTCTTCCGCCGTCCTGCACAACGCACAACGCCAAGCGACTAATATCATACACTCAGCCCTTGGAAGACTGTTCAAGAAATTCACCAATTACGCTAACATTCAAGGATGGATCGACTGCAATGTGCGATATTCTAATCGGTGCTGACGGGGTCAAATCTGCAGTCCGGCCCTGCATGTTGCGTGAACTGGCTGAGGGCATGGATCCCGATGAAAAGCAGTCTGTGCTATCTTGCATGAACCCAATCTGGAGCGGCGTCACTGCATATAGAACACTAGTTTCCGCACAAAAGCTGCGCGCGCGTTGCCCTGACCATCGTATCTTAAGGGAGTTTACCCAGGTAAGCTTAATTCCAGTTGCATTTCATCCCATTCACTTGGCACGGCGCTTTCATTCACAGTACATGGGAAAAGATGCTGT